GTGTGTGCACACATGTTGGGGGGGGGTGCACACGTGTGTGGGTGCACAGCACAGAGCTGGGGGGGTCCATCCCGGGGGTGCCCTCTCAGTCCCAGGCTCCCTTCCCGGGACCCAACCCAGCCCAGGGACCCCCAGGGACCCCTGCCACCACCCCTGTCCCCTCCCAGCCAGAAGTGCAGGGTTGGGTGTCCCCCAGGGTGGTGGATGTCCCCCCAAGGTGTTGGGTGTCCCCCCAGGGTCATGGGTGCCCCCTGCCCCCCGTGCCCCCTCCCCGTGCCACGATGCCCCCTCCGTCTCTCACCAGGGAGGTGCCGCCGGTGTCGGGGTCTCTGCTGCTCGAGGAGAGGGGACACAGACTCTGCTCCCCCAGCTCTGCCACCATCCCTGTCCCCGCCGTCCCTGCTGTCCCCAGGCCTCTGCCTCACTGACCAGGCAGGGCAGAGCCAGGGGCTCCCCTCTCCTTGTCCTTTCCCGTCCCCTTCCCTCCACCCCCACCTCACCCTGGCATCCCTCTGGCGCCCTCCCCTCTCCCAGCCCGACCACCGATGGGATCCTTCCCCTCTGCCCTTTTATACCGTCTTTGTTCATATGACAAGCACGTGGAAAACCAGAGCAGAGCTCGGAAAAAAGCTCCTTAAGACGCTTTAATTCAGTTTCCTGGATCCCATGACTGAGCTCGGCCTCTGAACGGGGTCTCATGACTGTAACACGCAGGCCCCGGCCATCAAAAGCCTCATTTATGCCCCAAAAGAGACTTAAACCCCTCTTGGCTGGTCACCCACTGTCCCTCACACCTGGCCTGGGCCCCCGGGCCCCCCTGGCTGGGGGCTTCAAACTGCCCTGGGTGACACCTGCCCTGACCCTGCTCCACCCAGGAGGGACTCTGGGGTCACTCGAGGCCTGGCTCTGCCCTTCCCCTCCAAGGAAAGGACCCTGCAAAGTCCCCTCCAGGCACCAGCCCCATCCAAAACCTCCCCAACTCAGCCCCCTTCCTGCCCTCCAACCACAGCACCAGCGGAGGGGACAGAAGTGCCATCCCAGAGGGGACAGAAGTGCTGTCCTGGTGGGGATAGAAATGCCATCTCATTGGAACACAAGTACCATCTCAGTGGGAACAGAAGTGCCATCCCAGTGGATTGTGGCCCAGTTTGGCCCCACCTTGGGGGATGCTGCACCCAGGACCCCCAGCTCCCACCTTTTGGGGACCCTGCACTCTGGGAGGGGTGAGTGCCCCTCTCCCCCTCCTGCTCCAGCTGCTCGTGGCCAGGTAAGGACAGAGCCTGAGCCCTCCTGGGCTGGGAGCAGTGACGGATCCAGACCCAAAAAGCCCCAATCCCTGATCCCATCCACAGCTCCCCACCACGGAGTTCACCCCCAGTCACGTCCATCTCCCCTTTGGGATCCCCCACACCCGAGCCGGCTCTAAGTTTTGGGGCCCAGCC